ATAAAAACGCACATATGACCGGGACAGCTCATCGTGTTTTACACCTAAAGAGACTTATTTATGTTTTGAAAGAGCAGCAGTGCTGCTGCCTTTAACTTCCTGCTTTTACACAGAAAAGCCACCTCCTCTAAACAATAACACATGGTGTCTCCTCCACCGTGTTGTTGGACCAAGAACTCTATGATTACACCGCCAGGTGAAATCTGTTAATCTCTGACAAAGGCTAAGTGCCAAAGAGTTAACACAAACAGGTAAAGCAGTGGAAGAGATTATCCTGTACTTTGCATGGGATTATGAGACATGATGTTATAGGAAACCAGATTAGCAGGCAATGACCGACTGAGCCCTTCCTTCAGAAAGTTGGATTAACCTGTTTAACCACGATCAAACACATATTTACTCAAACCTTGTTTCATAAATACATCCGCTCTTCTGCATGGCTGTAATGATTTCCTTTTCTAAACCACCTCATTGAGTAACAGTTAGACAGGAATGAACACATTTGTCGTTTATTTTTCCCTGTGACAGTTTTTTTTAAATGGCATCGTTTAGTTTACTTACTTTATGAAGGAGCCGAATGACTTCTTGTTTGGTCCACGCCAGCTGCACTCTCCAACCTGCAGAATCACCTGCTGTTTTAGATCAGTAAATGAAAAATAACCAAACAATCAATTATTCAGTTATCAAATCTATTTATTATGGGGTGCAGTGCCATTCCGGAGGTGTTCATGAATCCTGAAACTGGGGTGATGAGGAACATTCGCTTCCTGCGCAGTCATTATCTTTAGTTTTCACACAGGTGATGGAAAAATCAGACAAAACACAATGAGGTTTGTTCGTAGTTCGGAGCTGCCCGACGACTTCTGGATACAAGTAGCTTTGGACACCAACAACATCACGTCCCTAAGCTCGTTCCAGGTTCCTCGGGACCACTTGGGGAGTTTGAGCACCTTTTACGCGATGGCAGGATTTATGTTTTTTGTATGTGTGGCCGGCACGTCCATTAATACTCTGACCATTGAATGTACCGTTTCATACAAGAAGCTCCGATCCCACTTCAGCTACATCCTGAGACTGACCGTGGCAAATCTTCTGGTCTCTGCCGTGGGTTCTTCTACTGCCTAGTTCTCCTTTTCCATCAAGATACTTCATCTTTGGACCACTAGCATGCAAAATTGAAGGGTTTTTGGCAACACTTGGTGATAAGAATTAGGTTACAAGTAATAAATAAGTTTCCTCATTTCACTTGACTTCAACACATTTAAGCAAAAGCAGATTAAATACTCTCTTCCTTATTTCCAGGCATGGTAAGTCTGTGGTCCCTTGCTGGGAAAGCGTTTAAATGATGGCTGACCCGTTTATCTGCAAGCCTCTAGGTAACTTTGCTTCCAAGCCCGAGCATGCAACAGCTTGCTGCATGTTCACCTGGGCGTTTGCACTGATAGCTTCAGTTCCTCCCCTCGTAGGATGAAGCAGGTGATGTTAAAATAACTCTTGGTCAGCCTAAGCAGCGTGTGCTGACACATTTACACTGTTGTTTCTTCAGGTACATCCCAGAAGGTTTGCAGTGTTTCTGTGGACCGGACTGGTACACCACCAACACCAAATACAACAATGAGTCCCACATGATTTTGCCTTTCTGCTTCTGCTTTGTGGTTCCCTTCACCATGATCGTCTTCTGCTACACTCAGCTACTCATTACACTTAAAATGGTGGGGCTCCAACAGTATGACCGATTATTTAGTCACCACCCTTTTAAAAATAAGATCAAAATATTCTGACTAAGACAGTTAATTCAGTACTACCATACCAGTTTTGTTTGTGTTGTAATTGCCTCTTCGCTCTGGTCACCAGGCAGCAAAGGCCCAGGCTGAGTCTACCTCCACCCAGAAAGCAGAGAAGGAGGTCACCAGGATGGTCGTCGTCATGGTGCTGGCATGGTGTGCCATACGCCTCCTTTGCTCTTTGGGTTGTCAACCGTCGTGGACAGATGTTTGATTTGAGATTTGCAACCATCCCATCCTGCTTCTCCAAGGCCTCCACTGTCTCATCTACACCCTCCTGAATAAGCAGGTGAGCTCATCAGTAAAAACAAGTCGGATGAATATCAACCTTTAGTCTTGTACAATGTGTAGTTTTATCTAATTCTTGATTTTCTCCCTCAGTTCCTTGTGTGTCTGTTATCAATGATGGGGATGGGTGGAGGAAACCTCTACAACACAATCAGTGACCAAAGTCTACAAAGTTGGGCCTGCTTAGACCTCCAGCGTGATTTGTTCATTTTAAACAATTAAGTGATGCATCTTTAGCCATATGCAAAAGTGTCACAATCCAAGTAAATTAGTTTGCTTTTCTGCTACGTTGCAAGATAATAAAAAATGAAAATGTCTTTACTGGATCGGTTATGTGGATGACACTGGACGTCCTCTTGGTCAGAGCTTTATGCACTTTTTTTAGCTTCTGTCGTGTCAAAAATACAAAAGAGTTGGCTCTGGGTTGAAACAGACTGTAAAATTAGCTTTACACCAATCAGAGTTTGAGATATGAAAAGCTTAACTGAAATAAGAGGAGAGCGCCAACAAAAGAAGAAATAAGAAAATTGCTTTCACTTGGGTTGTACAGATGTGAGCTTCATTTAAGGTCCTTCCAACAAAACTACTCACAAAAAATTATTTCAAAGAATTTTTGGTCAAATTTCACCCAGAGTGAAGTTAAAAGGCAACGTTTGGACACCAGTCAGCAAAACCAGGCTGTAGAAAAAGCTGTAAAAAACATGGGTGTTGCACTATCGTGATGGTCACTGAAATGGTAAAATCAATAAGAAATCTCCAAACATCACTACAACGCTAAATAAATAAATAAATAAATAAATAACAGAAGAAGGTTTGGTGAGAACGTGACTGAAATACACAGCATGCTGTGATTTACCCTACCGGAGCAGGCAAGGATGCTACAAGACCCCAAAATAGCACAGAACATTTGCCAAAAAGCATACATTTTTATCCTAACACAATAAAAACTGCTCACCAGCTGGTGCATCATGAAAGGTGCTACTAGTTACTTATGACTTAGGGCTGCAAACCCTATTTGCTCTGAGAAATCAACCATTCATTGTTATTTTCATACCTGTGTAAAGAAATGAGTTGTTTACATCTTCTTTATGAACCATAACATATGAGATTCCATAGAAATATGAAATATCAATCTGATGGATCTTCGACTATTTTAACCAGAAGATCAGAACTTTTTATTGTAGGGATTAAGCGACGCTTCGTATTAACTCCAAGGAAAGAAAGAGAGTCAGGGTTCAAATAGTTAAGAAATCAATTTCTACACAATTTAAACAAGACTAACTGAAACACTCTGTGTACTGATGGACTAGGGTGGAGTGAGAAGTGAGATGAATGATGAATATGTGTGTGGAATGTTATTCCGAACCAGTGGATCCAGAGAAGCATTTAGTTCTGAGTGGGAGTGAATGTTTCGCTCTAAATTTTAGTTGGAGATTTATAATGAAACGCCATCTGTAGGTCTACGTACCCCAGGGGAAGCCTCCATCAGATCCAGAATGTCAAGGTCCCCTTGGACCCTCTTTGGTACCGAAGCCAGTAGAAAAGCAGCGGTGCCGTCCAATCTAGTCTTGGAATGCTTCCAGGTTATCACTGGCGTCTCCGAGACCCTGAAGGGGTCGTGAGGTTCAGCTTTTATTCTGAAGGAACCGTTGCAGTCAGGTGTAACGTGCAACAGATTTTATCCAGCTTGTCGAGGTTCTTTTGGCTGAAGAGGAAGTCCGGATGGTCTGTCCGAGACTTCTCTAGAACGCTTGAACTAAAGAAAAGGTGGCGTGGGATTGTTTTTATAATTGTCATATTTTGGTTTACCGGCGAATCAGAATTTGACATGCAAAAGAGGGTTTATACAAACACCACAGATAACCACGCCTCGCCTCAGAAACAAAGGTTCTGATTGGATCAGACAAAAGGGAATGTGTCATGTGACTTTTAACATTACGTGTCTTTAGTGTCTAGTGCAAATGTCCAAGATTATAATTACTTGTAAAATACTACTGATCACAGGATTGTAATATCAAGTAATAACATTGTCATTTCACAGAGTGATTGAACATTGGGCTCACATTATTATTGGTAATTAATAAAGTTGTTGATTATGTATTTCAGAATAGTTCTTGTCTTCGCTTGGTAACAAAGGTGAAGCAGTTCAGATGAGCAGAGCGCATGAAAGACCTTGGCCACTATCTCATGTAGATTAGCCTGTCAGAGACTTTATGTCTCTGCTCGAGCAGACGCAGCAGATCATGACCTTTAGGTCACAAACAGAACATTCATAACGCTACACCTGAAATGATAAAGATCCAAGACTGAAAAGTTTTATTCGTCACCTGCTCAGTCGTACGAGTACAACTTGCAGGAAAATGTAACCCTGAGTTGCTCCATTGACTGTTATGTTCAACACAAATACATCTAGTACTGTACTGTACACAAAAAAACAACATATGTACAAGCAGTGATTGAGGTGCAAAGGTATAAGTGTGTATGGAAAAATAAAATTTAATAGTACTCATTAGTCCGGAATATTCATGAAATGCAAGAATATACATGTAAAATACAGCGTCAACAACTTTAACCACAGATGTTTTTATGTCATTAAGTACTCAAATGTTTTATATCTTGTGATAAATTTAGATAATATTGAGGAAACAGAGAGTCAGTCTCTTCGACAACACTCAAATGCCTGGAGACAAAGAAAAAAGCTAAAGGTGATCAGGTGAAATGCGTGCAAGAGAGCTACCTAATCTTTTCACTGCAGGCAAACAGATTAGCTACTTCTCCAGGCTCAGACGTTGGTAAGCATTGAGAAGATACTGTCAAACTCTGAACTCTGTCACTAAGATACTAATCTCAGCATTAGCTAAAAGGTGCTGTAAGTTGTCATGGGAATTGATGCAAAGCTCTAAATCCTGTCCTTGAGCCAATTAAGTTGAGCTGTAGAGCTGTTCAAACCTCCTATAAAAGCAGCTTTTCAGTAGCTCGCCTCAGAGGCACACACAGAGAGTGAGACAGCCCTCCATTGGAAGACAGGAACATCATGAATTATCTCACTGCTGTGCAACATTAGATTTTAATTATTTACTCTCATTTACAAACCATAATTTAATCTATCTTTAAACCAAGCTCAAATTTTTATTTGACAAACACAAAAGAAAGAAAATGAGGGGAATGCGTCATGATGATGTCCCAGACGACTTCTGGATTCCTGTCCCTCTGGACACCAATAACATCACAGCCCTCAGTCCGTATTTGGTCCCACAGGACCATTTAGGAAGCAAGGCGCTTTATTATTCATTGTCAGCGTTCATGTTCGTGTTGTTTGTGTGTGGTACGACCATCAATGTCCTCACCATTGCATGTACTATTCAATACAAGAAGCTCCGCTCTCACCTGAACTACATCCTGGTCAACATGGCCGTGGCAAACCTCATTGTTTCTTCTGCGGGCTCTTTCACCTGCTTCTACTGTTTTGCCAACAGATACATGGCTCTTGGTGTTTTGGGCTGCAAGATTGAAGGATTTTCTGCTACTCTTGGTGGTAAGGACTGCAACAAAATGTCAGTATGAGAACAGATGTCACACAATATCTCAGCTTCAGCCGTTTAAGCGTATCCTCTTTTGCTTTAAAAGAAGATATTGACTGATTAACAGCAGCTTGATTCTGATTATTGGTCTTTTTAATTACTCTTTTCTCAGGAATGGTGAGCCTTTGGTCTCTTGCTGTGATTGCATTTGAAAGATGGCTGGTTATCTGCAAACCACTCGGGAACTTTGCCTTCAAGTCGGAGCATGCTTTGTTCTTCTGTGCTCTTACTTGGTTCTTTGCTTTGTGCGCTGCAGTTCCTCCTTTGGTCGGATGGAGCAGGTGAGTACACAAACAACCAGTTTTCTTCATTTTTCTTCATTTAAAAGTAAAGAATTTGATCAATGAACACATTACTGGTTTGCCAGGTATATCCCAGAGGGCATGCAATGTTCCTGTGGACCAGACTGGTATACAACAGGCAACAAGTACAACACTGAGTCCTATGTGCTGTTCCTCTTCTGCTTCTGCTTTGCCGTCCCTCTCTCCATCATCGTCTTCTGCTATTCACAGCTGCTCTTCACATTAAAATCAGTAAGAGATTTGCTACAAGGACTCAGCCTCGGCAAATGTAATATCAGTATTTGTTGGCATTTTAGTGCTGATTCTCACAAATGTCATCAGGCAGCAAAGGCCCAGGCTGAGTCTGCCTCCACCCAGAAGGCAGAGAAGGAGGTGACCAGGATGGTGGTCGTCATGGTGCTGGGCTTCCTGGTGTGCTATGTGCCATATACCTCCTTTGCTCTTTGGGTCGTCAACAATCGTGGACAGACGTTCGATTTGAGATTCGCCACCATACCATCCGTTTTCTCAAAGGCCTCCACTGTCTACAATCCTGTCATTTATGTCCTCCTGAATAAGCAGGTGAGCCAAAGCACATCCTTGGAGTATTTTGACAGGAAGAATGTTGACAATGATTTATGTTAAAAACTGTATTTAAAGGTAAACAAGAGACCAAAAATGCAGACTTTTGTCCTTAATTTGAATCAACCAATAAAAAAGCACCAATGCCATCTGCTAGTTGTTTCCAGAAGCAACTGTTCGACATTTCAATAATTAAATGATTAGGCTCAAATCCCCAGATTTTAAAGTCACATCAAAGGTCTGTTACTCAACCGTTTACTTATGAATCCTCAAAATGACTAAACTGCAATAATAATCTGTTTAGTGGAAAGAAGTGAAGCCCCCCTAATTGATGCAGACTGTATTCATGTATCTACTGTTCTCTGGAAACATGATAGTTACCGTTTAAATGTTGCACCAGTTTCAGCCAAATGTAGCCATCGTTTTCCTGTTTCTTTTCCTCTAAAAGATGGAGAACTAGAATAAGAGTTGAACAAGACTGAATAAATAAATGAAGTCATCTAAACGGATCCCTTTCCATCCTGTCTTTCAGTTCCGTTCATGTATGAGGAAAATGTTGGGAATGAGTGGAGGCGACGAAGAGGAGTCAACTACTCAGTCTCAATCTGTCACTGAAGTCTCCAAAGTCGGACCATCCTAGGCCGTTAGCCTATCTTGAATCAGTGCAAATGGAAATAGAAGCACGGATGATTTATGCTACAAATGTATTTTTACAGTTCTTAGAGATAGGATTTTGCACAGAAAAATGTTTAAAAAAAAGAAAAAAATCATATGATGAGATAATCTCTGTACAGAACCATGAACATAAAACACATATGTTTAGTCAGACCTAAAAATATGTGTTTTTCTTGTCAAGCAGACAAATGAGGTCAATGAAACCCATAAATGCTTGTAGAGCACCTGACACATCTGTCAATAAGTTGTCCTACATGTCATGACTCATAAATATTTGCTTGTATATAAGTAGTAAACAAAAACTAATAAAGAGATCGCAACTTTGAAGCTCAAATCCACTTGAGAAACACATTATTGTAACAAAAAACACCAAAGAGGTTAAAATTTGGATTGCTTTCTAAGGGATTGGGGTCTTGTCTGAATAATGCACAGCTTGGTGTTTGGAAATGATGTTCCTATAAAACAGTGCTTTCTAGTCTAAACACTGGTATTGTTTTGTACATTATATTGTACGTTTGTCTTGATCCATGTTATGTTTTCACAAATTTAATATGTGATATTCATTTTAGAACTGAAACAAATAAGTCAAAAAAGCTTTTTTCAGTAGATGGTTTCTTCACCGTCAAAGCAGGAAAAATAAGGAAGGACCTGATTTGTGATTCATGTAAATTTATCATGAAGACAATTCTGCATGATGGGCCCTGCGATGGACTGGCTCTCTCCCCAGGGTGTACCCCGCCTGATTGCCCATTGACCGCTGGAGTTAAGCACCAGCCCCCCCGCAACCCTACATGGACAAAGCGGGTTCAGATAATGGGTTGATGGATGGATGGATGGATGGGCTGCATGTTGGTGCAGTTGGCTGCACTGTTGCAGGCAAACCACAGGCTGTGGCCTTTCTGTGTGGAGTTAGCAATGATCCCACCCCATGCGTGTTTGGGTTCCTCTGGGTACTCCAGTTCCCCCACAGGCCACAAACATGCATGGTTAACTTGTGACTCTATGGTCACTGTGTGTTTGTGTGTGTGTGTGCGCACACTCACGTGCATTAGTGCATGTTGAATACATGCATGTGTGTGTGTGTGTGTGTGTGTGTGTGTGTGTGTGCACGCTCACTCACGTGTATTAGTGCATGTTGAATACATGCATGTGTGTGTGCGAGCATAGGCCTGTCCGTGCATGCGTAGGTGTGTGTGCATGAGTGAGTGAGTGTGTGTGCGTGTGTAGGCGTGTGCGCATGCATGTATGTGTAGGTGTGTATGTGTGTGTGCAAGTGTGTGTGTGTGTGTGCATGTGTGTGTTTGTGTGTATGTGTGTGTTTGTGAGTGTGCATGTGCGTGTGTGTGTGCATGTTTGTGTGTGTGTGTGTGTGTGCATGTGTGCGTGCATGTTTGTGTGTGTGTGTGTGTGCATGTGTGCGTGCTCGTATAGGCATGTGTGCATGCGTAGGCATGTGCGCATGTGTGCGTGCATAGGCATGTGTGCATGCATGCATGCGTGCGTGTGTGTGTGCGTGCGCATGCATAGGCCTGTGCGGGCATGTGTAGGTGTGTGTGTGCATGAGTGTGTGTGTGTAGGCATGTATGTATGTTCGTGTGTGCCTGTTCATGTGTGCGTGTGTGTGTATGTGTGTGTGTGTGTGTGTGTGTGCGTGTGTGCATTTGTGTGTGTGTGAGTGTGTGTGTGTGCATGCGTGCGTGTATAGGCATGTGTGCATGTGTAGGCATGTATGTATGTTTGTGTGTGTGTGTGTGTGTGTGTGTGTGTGTGTGTGCATGTGTGTGTGCGTGTGTGCATATGTGTGTGTGTGTGTGTGCATGCGTAAGTGTATAGGTATGTGTGCATGTGTAGGCGTGTATGCATGCGTGTGTGGTCTCCACTCTCATGTATTATTCAGGAAAATGTCTCATTTGTTTGTTGGAAGGTGCAGGACTTGTACTGGAATCAGCCACTGGAGGGCACTCATTTGGTTTTGCCTTTAACTTCAACCCTTCAACCTTACTTGTCCTAAAAGAGCATATAGGCTAGAATCCAGACTGCTGTTCGCTGAAGAGGATGCTTGCCTGGCTACAACAGGTAGATAGGCAAACCTTGATGCCAGGATGGTGCAAAGTAATCTGTGCAACTTACAGAGATATACTGTATATTATTCTTCACTGTTGAAGATAAGGTTCTGACTAAGCTGATGCTTTGGAGGCTTATCAACAATTTCACATACATAATACTTCCTGGATCCCAGTGAGGGTTTAGACAGAACCACAGCATGGTTGATGTGGTCCTTCAAGGTAAGGAGAGCAACACAAGTACCTGCTCCTACTGTCAGTTTACCATGGCGGTCTGACCACTTTGACATCAAGAGTCTGAACCTTCACTTCTGCATAATGGAGTCAGACAGGTGTGTACCAGAGACTTTCATCCACTTTCTCTATCAGGAGATCAAGAGTTGCTGTTGCTTTTAGGGTAGCTGGAAACATCCTCAGCTTAACAAGAATACATGACACCACTTAACTGCAAAGTGTTTTAACAACAACCATCATAGAGGACTACTTGTTCGGATTTTCTTCCTTGTGGTGGATCTTAGTGACCACGTTTACATGCAGCCAATATCCGGGTTATGATCGGGTTAAGGTCGATATTCGGGTTTCTGAGTTGATCAGAATAACCCGTTTACAAGCATAAATAGAAAGACTTGGTCTGGTGTCCTTACAAACCCTGCTTCGCATAACTTTTCGGTTACCTTCTTGTATATTTCGCTGTCTCTGTACTTTCGGCCGTCAACAAAAGACATAATGTTCATACTTTTCACCAGACCGATGAAGACGGAGGTTTCCTCGTCACTCCAAACGTGTGGTGCTGTGCCGCGACTCGCCATGTTGCTCCCAACTTGTTGTTTACTTCCGGAGTTCTGGCGCATACAAGACGTCTCGCTACTCAAAAGACCAAGATTCCTTGTGAACAGAGCATGCGCAGAACACACGCTTTGATGGGGATATCCCGGTATGCGTTTACACGACCAAACATTCGGGTTAGAAAAGGGTTACCCCAGGTGTAGTGAGCATATCCGGGTTTTTGGCGGTGTTTACATGGCCGTGCGGAACCGGGTTATTGTGAATATTTGGGTTTTAAAAGGGTTACTGGCTGCATGTAAACGCACTCATTGATCCATCAGCTTTGTTCCTACTAGGAGTAAATTTATAGGAGAGGAAAAGGTGACAGGGAAAACCTGGAGGCTCAGTCCGCTCTGCCTTTGTGTCCTCATGCTAAATTAGCCCTTTGAGGACCTTGCTAGGATATCAGCATATTGTGACTGTTTCAGCAGTGTGTGATGTCACAGATCATCTGCATCAAAAGACACAAATGGACATTAATAACATTTTAGACACTTTACTCTGCTAATGTATGCTGCATTTAATGCCAATCATTGGACAGGGACAGTGGCTCTGTGAAGTAAAAAGTAACATTGGGTCAGTATTTTCGCTGCATTTTCAGAATTTGGAGTTTAGAAACAGTGATTTTAAAGCTGCACCAACGCTGCTTATCTTCTTTTTGCTTCATTCTGCTTCACCAGCAATGTTGTGGTGATGTCTGCTGATTTTCTCTTGCTGAAGTTGGTTAATTAGCTTAAAAAACAACAAAAGCTCAAGTTTGCCACTTCATTTTTATCAGTGATACCTTACCTTAAACTTGTGTTACATGTTCTGTTTTTAGTTCCTGTGGTTTTAATTGTTTTATGATGTTTTGTTGTCTTTTAAAATGTATTTTATTCATTTTCATTATTATTTGCTGTTGTGCAGCACTTTGGGGTAACAACATTGCCGTTTAAATGCAATATATAAATAAAGGTTAACTTGACTTGACTTCATGTAAAGAGGACCCTTGTGAAAACGAGATGGCAAATCCTATGGGGGTTAAATAAATGTTAAATAAATAACTAAATGTAGGAAGTGTGTCAAACAGTTGGGTGCTGGTTTTGGGTTTAGGAAATGTTGAAACTTCATCCGCCTCAACCTTTTATTAACCCTCTGGAGGCAGGAGTTGCAGATTAGCAACGTTAAAACCTACCTACCTGGTTACTCCACGTACGTGTTTCATGAGCATTTTTTAACTCAGAAGTACCCCTGAAGGACTTCGTTGTTCGTCCTTTTATCAAAACTTATTTTGAGCCTGAGAGGGTTAAACTGGAGCAAATTATCGTCTCTCCAAAGTCAGAGCCACTCAAGCCCTGTGTGTGCTACTTAAACAGGTGGCCTACAGGTGGCGCCACCCTACGTCAGCAAGCCTGCTGCTCATGAAAGTAGCAGGCGACAGAATTAATGATGCTTGAAATGTCATTTAGTTTCTCTGGAAAAAAACACATCCTGACATATCCTTAACCAGGGTAGCAATCACAAGGTAGTTTTCCTTTTTGTACACGTTCTAAGGCCATGACCAATGCACCATGTCCATGACTATCTCTTCCATCAGGACACTAAAGATCCACAGACTCACAACGGCATCCTTTTGACTCCGGCAGTTTGTGAAAACTACCAGAGAGCTTTATCAGCCAAAAAAGAATGAAATGCTGGATTAAAACAAAACAGGCAAAAGGCACTTTTACAAAGAAATGATAAACTGACCGCAGATCCAAATATTAACACATTAAAAATAAACTAAAACACACAATTTGTTTCTTTGATTGGGTTAGTGGGACATGTGGTAGAATTATGCAAATGCAGGATTACCATTCACCTTCAGAGGTTCCAGTGATGTGATGCTCACAGGCTTTTCTGCTACATCAACAACATTAAGTTAAGATGGTTTGCTCAGTAGGATTACCAGAAAAATACTATCTATATATAGAGACACCATGATTTTTAATAAAAATTCTGGTTGTATTTATCAGAAATGTAACATGCATCTTATGTGGATATTAATCATCTAAAAACATCCAATACATGCAGACTACAAACAAAAAAACCTAAAAAGTAAAACATAAGGTCAAAGGTTATCTGAATATGTTCCTCATCAGACATGTTTGCATCTTCTCCGATGAGGCGTGCTGCAGCAGCAAGATAAAGAAAAATACAGTCAATAAAAAAAGAAAAAACCTAAAAGATTAAAATATAAATTACCTGATATCGAGTGAACTCAAGATCATCACAACAAGAAATGTGAATTTGGTTCACTTCACATCAGAGTAATTGTTCATTAACTGCAACTCA